ATCTGTATCAAATCCCTATAGCTAGAAGTTTTTGATCACATTGTGGCATTTCCACTGAATCGAAAATGACAGTAACGCTGTGTCTGTCACTTCGACAATTTCAAACTTATTTGAGGTTTGATTGGCATGTGATTGGCATGACAAATTGACGTTTCCCGTCAGATCAATCCAAATCTATAGGGGGATTTTTATAATAATCCATTTTTATTTCTCAATATTTCTTAATTTTTACAATAAATAGTGCAATTTGATGGATGATTCTGAACATTCATACTTAATACTGCAACAAACAATCTTAAACTTTTATATTCCATCACCAACCACTTATATTACTAGCGATTATATCATATCTTTGTTTTCCCGCACTAGTGCGGGAAAAAATTTCCCGCACTAGTGTGGGAAAATTTTCCCGTACTGTTGCGGGAAAATGACACTTCCCAAACTAAATTGCGTGCGGGTATAGGGTGAATCACGCACGCTTGTAGAAAAAAGATATTTACGGAAATCGGTTGCTGAAAAAGCAGTAGATTCATTGTCACCAGAACGACCGTGGATTTTATCTGGTGAGTTTGAGTTGACGTGTTTTAGTTTTCGGTTTGATTTTTCGATTTACAAATTATCAATTAATTAATGCGTTAAGTTCCGATGGATTCATTTACTAAAATAAATTAATAAAATTCAATATATTTTCAGTTGGATGAATTTTTTCTAATTTAGGACACTTTGCTTGTGCTTACTTAGACTCCCTTGATGGAAATTGACGTTAATGTCATCTTAACAGGGTACGGACAGATTCTCGTCTCCTCTCACTCTAAAGCGTTTGTGAAACAGTTATTTATTTTATTTGCTAGTTCTTTTCAGTTTTGCTATCTATAGAAGCTTGTCTCTTTAGTCTTTCAAACTACTATTTATTTTCTATTTTTCAGTTCGGCTGAGTACAAAGAGGTGTTCTTCAGTTTTTTTTGTAATCATACACATTTTTAACGAGAGAAACATAATCTTCGATCCATAAAACTCCTAGATACAAATCAATAGAATCGGATCATTATTTCAGAACTCTTTCTCCATATTGGATGGATGGATTAGTGAATTGGGCGTCCTGATTCCGAATCTGGAGTAATTTTCCCCAGTATTTTGACTCCAAATGTAATTTTCCGGAAATTGGGGTGGTTCCATGGCTGTTGGCGAGCAGTGTATATCACTGAAGATCACCCCACTTGGTCATAGAGTGCATTTTTGGTATATCTCTCGCTCCAGCAAATTTCAGGATTCTTACCCAACGATTACGTAAGATACAGGGGTGTTTCCATTAGAAGTGGGTCACACTGTATACGTGGTGATCCGCAAGTGAGTGACCAAAAATTACACTTTTACACTCGAATACACAGTAAAAAAATCAACTATTCACTCATAGGTATTGCGGAGTATTGCTTGCATGTCTACAATGTATGGATTTATACTGTCGTTGGTGAGTTCCTTGGCATCACTGAAGATACGAATTTTTGAAGAAATATAACCATAAAACCCTGTTTTATTGGTTTCATGCATTTAATTGGATTTTTTT